TTTTTTTTCTATAATTGCTTTGCTTTGTCTATATATTATATAGTTCATAGTTCCAGTTTTTTTTAATTAATTTTTTATTGAAGGGAGTCTAATGAATTTATATATGAACAAGTGTGTATTATGCTATAACGAATTATGTATACATGTTGGTGTATTAATGAAACAAGTTTAAAAAAGAAATACAGCACACTATTAATTTGTCTATATACTTTGTCCATTACTGTATATTTGGCTATAAGTTGTCCCCATTAAAGTTTTTATAGGACTATAAGGTCTAATATGAAATTATATGTTTCCAAAATGTATGTATTCATATTTGATGCAATCTCAAATTACTTTGACCTATCAAAGTGATCGTGCTCAATATTTTGTTTATTGGCACTGTACTGGCAAATTTCAATTCCTAGATTCAGTGTGAAAAACTGAGGACAAAACTTTCGAGAAACCATAATTAGTACTATTTTTTGTGAACACTACTCTTTCCAAAATTTTGGTTACAGAACTAAGCGATTACTTTAGTCCTACCAGTGTTGCTAGTAGTCATGATGATCAGCTTTGTCATCTCAGATATTTATATTTATCCGTATTTCTGCTTGTAGGCAGGCAAGGGCAAAAACGCTACTTGACTTATGATTTTCTCTTGTTGAGTTTTTGTATTTTTGTAGTCCCATTTCTGTTCATGTTGGGAACCCTATGAAACTTATAGATATACTAAGTGACATATAAATCCGAACACCCAGTTCAAATGGTTTTATTTTAATAAAATTTTGTATAAGTACTTAATGAAGCATAATAAGTAAATGATAAAAATTTCAAAATGATTGCACTGCTTTAAAGCCCTTTGACCTTTAATAATATGTGGATGCACCCTGATGTGCTACGCATTCTCCAACGCGCCTAGGCATGCTTCTGATCAGGTGGTCAATGTCCTCCTGTGGTATCTCATTCAGGCAACCACCAACTCCTCTCGAAGTGCTTCTAGAGTCTGAGGAGGACATTGCAAATTGAGCAATCTCCTACCCATCATATCCCACACGTGCTCAATTGGGGATAAGTCGGGACATCTTGGTGGCCATGGTAACAATGTGACATCATTATGTTGAAAGAAGTCTATTGTGACTCTTGCAACATGTGCTCGGGCATGATCTTGTTGGAAAGTTGGATCTGCCAGGGTGTCAAGATAGGGTAAAAGATGGGGTTCTAGAGCTTCGTGGATATAACGCTGCGCGTTCATGTTACCTCTGATGAAGATTGAAGGTGACCTGGAACCATAAGCTATAGCACCCCAAACCATAACTCCAACAGTGTGATGAACATGTCTTTCACAAAAAACTGTGGATTCCTCCTTTCACCATGTGGCCTTCTAACCCTGGCACGACCATCATGCATGCCTAAACAAAATCGAGACTCGTCACTAAAGACAATACTGTTCCATTCCTGATCCCAGAGTGACCGTTGTCTGCACCACTCAAGGCGATTACGTCGGTGTTCTCGAGTTAAAGGGAGGACCCAGTGTGGCCGGTATGAAAACAAGCCAAAACTTCTCACTCGTCGGTAAACACTTCGCATGCCAATAGGTCTTCCGTGTTCTGCAAACCATTCATTTGCAATGGACCTGGTAGTGGAGAAACGGTCCCTTAAGGCCAATAATCTTAGGCGGCGATCTTAACGGTCTGTTATTCTACGGTGGCGTCCAGTGCCCCTTGCTCTTTGCGTACGGCCTTCTCGAAGCCATGCCTGACAACACCTAGCCACAGTGTCTACACTTCTTTGCACTCTAACTGCAATTGCCCGAAAAGAAAGTCCAGTTTCCCGAAGTCCCACTATACGGCCCCTATCAAACTCACTAAGTTGACGAAATCGTACAGGTCTCCGTACTCTAGGCATCGTAACCGATCGTAAAGGATATCAAGAACCAAAATCCGCCAACGTTGATTCTTTACTGCGGCTGAAATATTCATTTTTAGACCGTTAGTGAATTAAAAAAAAAGCAGTATAAAAACCGGAATGTCCAACTGATAAGGCTGAAAATTGTTTCACTTGTTATTTACAGTAAGATGAATACATTCACCAACTTTTATTAAAATAAAACCATTTAAACTGGGTGTTCGGATATTTAAGCAGATACTGGTAATTGTAATTATAATCAGCCGTTTAAGCTCCTTGTCTATATTCACCCTTTGTTATTTAAAGACGTTATTAAATCCTTCCTGCTTTTCAGTGAGAGTCTGCGCATACAGGGAAAATATTATTTTCACCCCAGCCAGCACCATTGTTATAGAGGCGGATAGTTTGAGAATATATCTCTGTATTTAGTACGATATACGAAAATGCTCAAGTTTGACAGCCTAAAAATAGCTGTTTCACAAAATCTTCAAAATCAGTGATTTTTTTTTTCGATGAGCTTTGGGTTGAACTGGAGCTAGAATATACATACTGTTTGTGTATATGCTTCAAGGATGGCAGACAACTGTTAGGGAACAATAACCCTACAATTCTAGCATTATAGAAACATTTACAATACATTTTTCATGAATAATCAACGCAGATGTTTATTCAGAATTCTTACTTTTTGCTTCTTCAACTTGTCATTCGATGTGTGGAATCACATTCCTCCGAATTTATGTCCATACTTTTTAAATGAGAGTTGAATGGGAATTACTGAGTAAATCTACTTGCCATTTTTGGTGATGTTATTTTTCTAAAAAATGTTCCTGGTTATCCCGTCTAGAGGAAAATTCAAGCACTTCCGGGCGATGAATCCTAGATCAATCTGGTTTACAGAAAATCAAAATATTCAACTTTTCCAAAATTGTCTACCTCATGCTGTAAGATGTTACATTCGGATAATGATTGTACTTGATTTCGGGCTCTGACAATTTACTGGATAATAATCGAACAGTCAGAAGTTTCTGTACTCTGTACGAACAGTCGATCAGTTGTCACAGTAATCGGTCCAAGCTCCCTCAGCCAACTCGTAACGTTCTCATGTACGTAATCTATACAGTCAGTGACATGTCACTGACAGCTAACTGAATAAACTAGGTCATGACTTGTCGCCAACTATCAGTTTGCTGACTGTCAGCCAACAGGCTGTACGAACAAACCATTAGACAGAAGTATTTTTTTATTTTTTTATACTCCAACTACCACGAAGGCCTAGGGCCTAAACACCTATTGGGTACCGTGAGGCTATAGGGGGATACAGGGGAAGGGGGAACGCCACACGGACTCTGGCGAGGGAACACGTGTGCATCCAACATGCACACATTCTGGCCCCGCCTACCAGATCGCCGGGTGGTACTTCTGCGTTTGACCGTCAGAGACCGTCTACCACCTAAGGACAATCACAACATCCATAGCGAGGACAAACATTTCTCCTGGGACGGGATTCGAACCCGCACAGCGCACGGCGACTGATCAGGAGACCGAAGAGTCTACCACTGCGGCCACCGCTGCTTCCTAGGTTTAGTAAATATACATCATAAAGTTTGTTCCAACAAGCAGTTCATAAGTTCTACTAGTTCAGAACTAATTCCTAGTTAGTTTTTTTTGCACGTGCGCGAGGTAAGTACTGTACAAAACTAGTTCGGAACCAACGTTAATTGGAGTAACATTTAAAATTATCAAGTTTCCGTATGTTTGACGTACTGTAATCTGCAAAAAAAAATGGTAAAACAGATGGCATATTTAACAAGGGATGAGTCGCTTGGTGATTTTAAAGAAATAGTCTGAAGTTTAGTCTCTTACTTCCTACGCCATTGGCGAGGAGCTACTGCTACTGCTCGGATTTGGATGAAATTTTTTCACAAGATTGCTGCTGTGCCAAGGACGAATAAGACAAGGAAATAGAAATTGCTTAAACTTGGTTTTTGACGTTTCAGAGGATCCTAAACATTTTTGAAAAAAAAAATATGGATGACAAATTAGGATATGGGGAGTAGATGGGGGTGGAAATTGTAGAATTTTAAAGTACATCTGAGGAAATAAAGGTAGACTAGAAGGAGCCCATAAAAATGGGGAGGTCCAGGAACTTTAAAAAGGTCCAATTGTATCCAAGAAGACTCGAAGGTATCTGAATAGATGAGATCTTTTGTGTTAAACGCCAGTGGTTCATCTTTCCAACATCCAGATATACTCTTTGCCAATCAAACTCATGCTCTTCGAAATAAAAAATAGGGTTTTGGTTAATGTAACTCCTGAAACTTATCCTGTGGTTCCATGTTTATGTACAATGTATGATGTGTAAAATATGCCCAATATGTGCCTAGAATTAACGGGTTTTGACGTGTATTGATATAGTAACATCAAAAAAATTGCGATACACCCTCCCCCACCCACCTACAACCACGCACGCCCCAATTTTTTACCTCTACATTTTTCCCAAAAATGATTCGGATCCTCTAAAGTGTCACAAAACGAAGTTTGAGCAATTTTTTTTCGTTTTTGGCATTTTTCTTTGTCGCCACCGAACCGATTCAGAAGAACTAAAATTTCATTAAAATCCGACCGGTACTTTATAGATGGGTCAACAAGCGAACAGACAGACTGACAGACAGATCGACATACAGACTGACTGAACTGATGGTTTGTCTTGATGTACCTACATGTCATATAACATCAAGAAAACGTAATACCTTCTTCGCGATTACAATAGTCGCTCGCCAGTAGGCGTGCAAGGTAAAGGAACGGAATGTCACCTAGAAGACAGAAAAAATATATTGTCACAGATGTCAATTGTACTTGTAAAAGACCTGCGTTGTGGAATAAGCGTCGTACAATAAACTGAAATCTAGGCATGTATATGTGGTTTTGTTTTAGCTAGACAAAGAAATCCTACAGACGCTTTTACTATAGGCTGTCGGTAGGTAACCCTACGCCAACCTCCTTTTCCATTAAAAAGCTTTGATATACCATAGGTCTATGGGAGTTAACAGCTGATTAAGTATGTGGATGGATTAGTTATTATCTTCTGACCGTATAAGGTATCAACAAAGTACTTGAGCATCTCCATTGACAAGGATGGTCGTTATTCCAAGCAAAGTCTTATCTGTATTTTGATATAATTTCGTTGTCATTTTAAAATGCACATGAAACATCTCTTTAGTAAGTTACAGCTCTGTTATGCACGCTAATGCACCCCCGCATAATATATAATGTATTTAACTTTGTTTGTCTATACGTATAAACACAGGAGGCAGTGGGTATATGCACCAGGCCGCGCCTGTAGCATTTAGGGGCAGGTTGCACCACATCACTGTTGCATAATTGATGCGTGTATTTAATGCAAGCGCCAGCCTCCCTTGCACATTTGATCGCAGCGGCTTTTACGGGAAAATTATTCAAAATGGCTCTTTGTTCGGCAGCTCGACGACGCGACGTGGCGTCAACTGTGGAAACACGACGAATTCGGAATTGTGTTTTACACCTGAGTGTGTCGCTCTAGGACCGGATTAAATCGTAAAAGCATTCATTCCATTTAACAATATTTTCTTTTAGGGACATTATCATTACTGCAGTCAACTTAAATTAGAGAATTAGGCCTCGGAACACGGTTCCACTGAAAGGATTTTGCGATTTACGTTCATTGATCATGACGTTTATATAGGCCTTGTGTTAATTTTCTTGTAAATGGAGACATTAATTTAGATGGTCACAAAAACTATTTTAATACACGGGTGACCAGTAATACTTCTACAATGATTGATCATTTTTACATTAACTTTGACAATAAAGGTTTGATAATCAAATATCGGACAACAGAAGCATTTATTTGAAACTGGATATCTTCTCTAATCAGAGCCATAATGCCAAAAAAAAAAATTCGAAGATGCTTCAACGAGGCCAATTTTATCAAATTCTGGGATGATCGGATAGCTGATTGGTTAAATCTGTATAGATTAACTGATTTTGAAAACGCATTCCGTTGCTTCTGATACATTTTTACATTACTTCAACACAAATTTTCCTAAACATAGTTGCTATAAACATAATAAAGACAAATCATGGTAAATAGAAGAGTAAAAAATCTAGGATGAATTTGAAATATCTTTACCGTCTCAAAAATACAGGGGACTTCGAAGTTGAGTCATTTATTTTAACAGTGAGTAGATCTGATCAAAAGAAATATTTTTTCCTTTAACATTTTTGTGGTAAAATTAAAGTAACAAAGTTATATATTATTAGAAGTTTGAGTACCGCCCTGTCTCATAATAATATTATGTGCTCGTGTTTGGTAACAACGGATATAATCCGCCTTATCGGTTCATCGCATCGGAAACAAAAAAGCGAAACAATTGAAACGCTTATCACCATGTTTTTACTACAATTTTATTCAGTTGTATTCAGTCAATGTGTCAGTCGGTAACGCGTGAGTGAATAGTGGTGTTTGTTGCGTGGCTCAAACGAAATAAAAAATGGCACATGTTTACGAAAATGCTGAACTTGTGGACATGATTCTTATTTACGGGGATCGGTTTCCCAATCGAGTGCAACCAACCCCTCGTGCCTTTGTTATTGTAGTACAAAGGGCTCGTGAATCAGGTGACTTAGGACCTCACAGGGGAGGCATGCCGGTGCTCCAAGACCGTACGATCAAATACAGGTCCGCACTGAAATACTGTCGGAAGGATACTTTATAAAACAAGGTAACATTTTTTTTCAATTTTTTTTTAATGTTTACACCCATATTTTGGTTTATCTTCCTTCTACAATCATTATCTGAAAATTAATGACTCAACTATATTTCCCAGCCTATCGCCATATTGTTTAAACGCCAGACGTAAACACCTTAACCTAATGTCCACTGTAAAAAAGACTATTACAAGGAAAAAACTTTAATTCGGTCAATAGGCTTATGGAATGTGGTATCTGAATTAACAATTAAATCAAAGCAAAATGATAATATTTCGATGTTCCTATTTCCATTTAGTGAAAACGAACTAATGGATTTACTGAATACGAATTAAAGGACAAAAAAACAGCAGGGTTTGATGAAATTCCCCCATTTGTGTTAAAAAATGTTATTCATTTAATATCAATACCACTAACGTATTTAATTAGCATGCCTTTCACACAAGGTGTATACCCAAAAAACTAAAAACAGGTAAAGGTAATTCCCTTATTCAAAAATGACCAGTAACAATCCTTGAAACCTTCTCAAAATTATTCGAATACGCAATTCTGGACAGATTTAAAAATTTTATTAACAAATGTAAAATCATCAGCTCACATCAGCATGGTTTTAGCTCATTAACATCCTGGAAAGTATTGAGATGGGCGAATGCCCTGTGACTGTATTTATTGACATGAGCAGGGCATTTGACTGTGTCAATCATTCAATAGTATTATCTACATCAGAATAATACAGTATAAGGGGAAGCCGCTGGAATGGATTGAATCTTTTCTATCTGAACGACAGCAATATGTTTCTATCCGACATTTCCGAACAAAGTCGATTGATGAAGTAACATCAAAAAGAGAAACCCAACTTATGGGAGTTCCTCAGGGGTCAATTTTAGGACCTATTCTGTTTTTATTGTACACAAATAAAATAAGTGACCTAGGGCAAAACCACGTTATGTATGCTGATGACATCTCGTTAACTATAAGCGATTTTGATAATAGCAGTTTGTCTCAACGCTGTAATACTGGCGTTCGTGATGCAATATCATACCTACATGATTTAGACCTTTACACGAATTTAGAGAAAACAAAATGTCTACGATTCCATAACATTCAGAATCATATTGGTGATATACATTCCCCGGTTGGCAGCACAACACTACAAACGAACCAGTACAATTCAGTCAGATTTTTGGGTTTGCACGTTAAAGACACGTTATCATGGAAGGTTCAATGTGAAAAGTTAACAACTATACTAAGTGACATATAAATCCGAACACCCAGTTTAAATGGTTTTATTTTAATAAAAGTTGGTGAATGTATTTATCTTACTGTGAATAACAAGTGAAAAAATTTTCAGCCTTATCAGTTGGACATTCCGGTTTTTATACTGCTTTTTTTTAATTCACTAACGCTCTAAAAATGAATATTTCAGCCGCAGTAAAGAATCAACGTTGGCGGATTTTGGTTCTTGACATCCTTTACGATCGGTTACGATGCCTAGAGTACGTAGACCTGATAGGGGCCGTATAGTGGGACTTCGGGAAGCTGGACTTTCTTTTCGGACAATTGCAGTTAGAGTGCAAAGAAGTGTAGACACTGTGGTTAGGTGTTGTCAGGCATGGCTTCGAGAAGGCCGTACGCAAAGAGCAAGGGGCACTGGACGCCGCCGTAGAACAACAGACCGTGAAGATTATTGGCCTTAAGGGACCGTTTCTCCACTACCAGGTCCATTGCAAACGAATGGTTTGCAGAACACGGAAGCGAAGTGTTTGCCGACGAATGAGAAGTTTTGGCTTGTTTCATACCGGATACACTGGGTCCTCCCTTTAACTCGAGAACACCGATGTAATCGCCTTGAGTGGTGCAGACAATGGTCACTCTGGGATCAGGAATGGAACAGTATTGTCTTTAGTGACGAGTATCGATTTTGTTTAGGCATGCACGAGGTCGTGCCAGGGTTAGAAGGCGACGTGGTGAAAGGAGGAATCCACAGTTTTTTGTTGAAAGACATGTTCATCACACTGTTGGAGTTATGGTTTGCTATAGCTTATGGTTCCAGGTCACCTTTAATCTTCATCAGAGGTAACATGAATGTGCAGCGTTATATCCACGAAGTTCTAGGAACCCATCTTTTACCCTATATGGCACCCAGGCAGATCCAACTTTCTAACAAGATAATGCTCGTCCACATGTTGCAAGAGTCACAATAGACTTCTTTCAAAATAATGATGTCACATTGTTACCATGGCCACCAAGATCTCCCGACTTATCCCCAATTGAGCACGTGTGGGATATGATGGGTAGGAGATTGCTCAATTTGCAACGTCCTCCTCAGACTCTAGAAGCACTTCGAGAGGAGTTGGTGGTTGCCTGGAATGAGATACCACAGGAGGACATTGACCACCTGATCAGAAGCATGCCTAGGCGCGTTGGAGAATGCGTAGCACATCAGGGTGCATCCACACATTATTAAAGGTCAAAGGGCTTTAAATCAGTGCAGTCATTTTAAAATTTTTATCATTTACTTATTATGCTTCATTAAGTTCTTATGCAAAATTTTATTAAAATAAAACCATTTAAACTGGGTGTTCGGATTTATATGTCACTTAGTATAAATTGAAGTCGCTTATCTTCATGTTCAGCAACCTACGTACAGTATTAAATTCACCTCAAATAATATTAGGCCCAGGTCGAATCTCGACTCCGTTATGGAATTTGCTTATGGGGTAGTTCTACCCATGCTTTGAATGTTTTCATTGCGCAGAAGAAAATTGTTAGAAGTATTGTTGGTATCCCTAACACTGAGTCATGTTTGAGCAGTTTTAAAATTTAAAAACATTTACCTCTTACTTGCCTATATATTTTACAGTTATGTTTATACGTGTTTGGCTATAAAAACAGATTTCCATGGTAGTACACACGATATAAATACAAGACAAAAAAATTCACTGTTAGTTCCATTTGCCAGATGTAATATAACTACAAGTTCGCCCACTGTAATGGGACCAAAAATTTTCAATCGTCTGCCCGACCATATAAAAGTAAAAACCAGTGAGAAATCCTTCAAGAAAGAATTGAAAATTTATCTGCTGGACGACAGTTTTTACAGAGTTTTAGTAGTTTTTAACAATTAAACCTTATGAATTACCTTGATTCTTTAGTCTTAGGACATATTGTATTGACAGTTCCTACACAGTATTGTCTGTCTATGGAGAATAAATTGAATTGGATTGAATTGATTTTGGTTGCTTTTGATCATGTTTGTTTATTTTTCTAAAAATTCGACTATTATGTTTTCGGTTTTTAAAGCTAATAATATGTCGTCTGATAGACCTCATAACAGTGAACCAAAACGTTTATATGAACTTACATTCTGTTACGGAAAGT